TTAATGCATATTATTATGAAACTTCCCCCAGCCCCATGTCTTTGAGGAATTAAACTGCCATGTTTCAGCTGCCATTTGGAAAGGACCATGTAGCAAAGAGCTGAGGGGTGGCTTCTAGCTTTTAAACAGCTGGAAACTGAGTCTCTGCTTGCACTGAAACTGAATTCTATCAATAATCACATAAATTGGAAGTGGATTTTTCCCCCCTTGAGCCTCAGATGAGACATCTTGATTGCAGCTTTGTAAGATTCTAAAGCCCAATTAAGCTGTTCCTGGACTCCCCACTCACAGAAATGATGAGAAAATTAATGTATATTGTTCCAAGCCACTATGTTTACCTATTGCCAATAATATTAAATGGCAATAGGTAAAAAATATTTTAAGAATTTGGACTTTTTAAATAAACTACTTTTGGTATTAGTGATTTTCTCCATTATTTGTCCACTTTCTATTGATTTCTGTTCTGTTGTTTATTATTCATAAATATTTTTAAATTTCAGGTTTAATTTGCTCTTACGTTCACTAGGTTTGTTGTTTTTTTTTAGTATAAAATTTTTATATTTAGAATTAGCCAGCTGGACTCAGTTTAGATGATCCCAATTTTGTTAGCAACATCCAAAGCATCATAGTCTGGAGCCAGTCGAACATACGCCTTCTTCTCCCCATCAGGCCTGATCAAGGTGTTGACCTTGGCCACATCAATGTCATACAGCTTCTTCACAGCCTGTTTGATCTGGTGCTTGTTGGCCTTGACATCCACAATGAACACAAGTGTATTATTGTCTTCTATCTTCTTCATGGCTGACTCCGTCATCAAGGGGAACTTGATGATGGCATAGTGGTCAAGCTTGTTTCTCCCAGGAGCGCTCTTCCGAGGATATTTAGGCTGCCTTCGGAGCCGCAGTGTCTTAGGCCTGCGGAAGGTGGGAGACGTGCGCATCTTCTTTTTTCTGTGGCTGTGGACGCCTTTAGCACTGCTTTCTTTGCTTTGCCTTGGCTTCGGCTTTGGGAGGGGCAGGGGCTTCCTTCTTAGCTTTCGGCGCCATCTTTATGAAAAGGTCGTTCTCTAGCTTTTTAAGGTAGGCCCTTTACTCATTGATTATAAGCTTTTTGTCTTGTGTATAACAATTAAAAGTATATATTTCCCTTGAGGCACTACTTAGAGCAGCATCCCAAAGATGTCGATATATTTTGTTTTCATTTCCATTTAGTTCAAAATACTTTTTAATTTCCCATGTGGTTTTTTCTTTGACCCACAAATTATTTAGAAGTGTGATAATTTGCTAATCTCTGGGAAATTTTCCAGATTTTAGAGCTCATCTTGCTTTCCTTCTCTTAGGGATTATATTTTATTACTGCTTCTTTTTCATGTCAGACTACTGCTGTGTCATATTTTTTGTTTTCTACTTGTTGAGGTGGGAGGTCAAATCCAATTCCCATTACTCCTTGTGGCTAGATGCAGCAGGGTATCTTTGGGTTTAACTCTACCATCTTGCTTTTTATTTTTTATTTGTTCGCTTGACTCATTTTATTTTTTGCTTTTTTCCCTTTATTCTTTTGGACTGAGATTTTTTATTTTGGTTTTATCTTTCATTTTTATTACTTTTGGCCCATTAGCTACTTCTCTGTGTGTGTGTTTGATTAATCTAGAATTTATTCTTTGACTCTTTAACTACCACAATCTATATTTAAAGTACATTTAGCACTTCATAAATAATATAAGAATCTTACATCTCCCACTTCTTTCCTTTTATCCATTACATAGTCATTCATTTTACTTCTACGTATGTTATAAACCCCACAATACAGTGATATTTTTTCTTTACTCTTCAACTGTCTTTTTAAAAAATTAAAATGAGATACAATATTTTTATATTAGTCTACATATTTGTCATTTCTGGTGTTTTCATTGTCTTGTATATTGTGTTTCCATGCCTTTTTTTCTTCTAAGTTGAGCCTGTTAGCATCCTGGAGTTGTAATTTTGTTGTCCTCTACCTTTCATTGTTTCTGACAATAACTCGGCTGTCATTCTTACTGTTACTTGACATAGTTTGTCATTTTTCCCTCTGGCTGCTTTTAAGATGTCTCTTTCTCATTGGTTTTCAGGAACTTGATTATAATATGGTTTTGGGTGGTTTTCTTTGTAATTTTCTTCTTGGAATTCTTTGACCTTCTTGCATCTTCAAGTTTATGGTTTTCATCAAATCTAAAATTTGAAAACAACTCAGCCCTTATTTCTTCACACTCTGGTGCTCCAGTTATATGTCTGTGATATGGATTAATGTTGTTCTATAGGTCTTCAATGCTCTGCTAATTTTATTTTTCTTGTTTTTTCCTCTAATGTACAGTTACACTCATTCAATCAATCTTTTATTTCAGACATTATATTTTTCAGCTCTAAAAGTTACATTGGTTTCTCTTTCATGTCTTCTATTTCTCTCATTATGTTTATTTTTGAAAATCTGGAACATATTTATAATAGTTGCTTTAAAGTCTTGCCAGCTAATTTGTTATCTTTGTCATTTCTTAATCTATTTAATTGATATTTTTCTTGGTTATGGGCCCAATTTTCTTTCTTCTTTGTATGTGTACTAAGTTTTTTATTTATAGCTTTATTGAGATATAAATCACATACCATATAATTTACCCTTTGAAGTACAAAATGTAATAGCTTTCAATATACTCACAGAATTGTATATCCATAATCAAAATTAATTTTACAATATTTTAGTGTTTTTTAATGAAATAGTTATTTAATTAAAAATTTTAAAAATATATATATATTATTGATTATGCTATTACAGTTGTCCCATTTTTTTCTCCCCTTTATTCCTCTCTGCCCCTCACTCCCCCTCCCACCAGCATTCTCCCCCACCACTTAGTTCATGTCCATGGGTTCCATATATAAGTTATTTGGCTCCTCCATTTCCTATACTATTCTTGACCTCCCCCTGCCTATTTTGTACCTACTATTTATGCTGCTTATTCCCTGTACCATTTCCCTCATTCTCCCCCATCCCCTGCCCCTCTGATCTCCATTTCTATGATTCTGTTCCTGTTCTAGTTGTTTGCTTATTTTGTTTTTGTTTTTGTTTTTTTTTTTTTAGGTTCAGTTGTTGATAGTTGTGGGTTTGTTGTCATTTTACTGTTCATAGTTTTTGATCTTCTTAAATTAGTCCCTTTAACATTTCATATAATAATGTCTTAGTGATAATGAACTCCTTTAACTTGAACTTATCTGGGAAGCACTTTATCTGCTCTTCCATTCTAAGTGATAGCTTTGCTGGATAGAGTAATCTTGGATGTAGATCCTTGTCTTTCATGACTTCGAATACTTCTTCTTTCCAGCCCCTTCTTGCCTGCAAGGCTTCTTTTGAGAAATCAGCTGATAGTCTTATGGGAACTCCTTTGTAGATAACTGTCTTCTTTTCTCTTGCTGCTTTTAAAATTCCTTATTTTTAATCTTGGATAACTCAATTATGATGTACCTTGGTGTGTACTTCCTTGGGTTCAAATTCTTGGGGACTCTCTGAGTTTCCTGGATCTCCTGGAAGTCTATTTCCTTTGCCAATTTGGAGAAGTTCTCCTTTGTTATTTTTTCAAATAAGTTTTCAATTTCTTCCTCTTCCTCTTCTCCTTTGGGCTGCCCTATGATTCAGATGTTGGAGTGTTTAAAGTTGTCCCAGAGGTTTCTAAGCCTCTCCTCATTTTTATGAATTCTTGTTTCTTCATTCTGTTCTGGTTGAGTGTTTATCTCTTCCTTCTGCTCCCAATCATTGATTTGAGTCCTGGTTTTCTTTCCTTTACTATTGGTTCCCTGTATATTTTTATTTATTTCACTTTGTGTAGCTTTCACTTTTCCCTCCATTTGCTACCATACTCAAGCAATTCAGTGAGCATCCAGATTACCAGTGTTTTGAACTGTGCATCTGACATGTTAGCTATCTGTTAATCGCTTAGTTCTATTTTTGGAGCTTTGACCTGTTCTTTCATTTGGACCATATTTCTTTCAGCACTCCTCTTATGTTGGAAGAGATGGAGGCTTAGGTATTTGCCAGGGCAGGACAACTCAGGTCACTGCATTGTGATGCTATATGTGGGGGAGAGGTCTGAGAGGGAACAAAGCTGCTTGCTCAGCTTTAGGCAGCTTTCAGTCACTTCCCCCACTACCCAAATGCAAATTGGGCCCTTCTGATGCTGATTCCTAGGTGGGTGGGATTGTATACATTCTAGGACCCTGTGAGTCTCTCCAATGGACTCTCCTGAGTGGCTGGGAGTTACTCCTGACACTGCAACTCCAACAGGTTTTTACCCCCAGAGATCTTGAGGCTTTCTTTTTCTCATGCTTGAACCCTGGATTGCTTGGTCTGTCTCATTCCCCAGCTGTTTACGATTTATCTGCATGCAAATGTGGGACCACCTGGTCCTCCAGCTACCACTTTGCCACGCATCCTCTCCGCCCCAGCTTCCTGTCTCCGCCCCTCCTACCAGTCTGTATGAATGTTTCTTCTTTAGCTCCTTGATTGTTGGACTTTCATACAGTTCTGGCAGTTCGATTTTCTGGTAGTTCTGGTTATTTTTTGTTTTTAAATTTCTTGTTGTCCTTCTTTTGGTTGTGCAAGGAGGCAAAGTGTATGTACCTACGCCTCCATCTTGGTCAGAAGTCTATTTTTAGTGTTCTAAAAGGAAGCCCTGATGTTGTTAGCCCTTATCTACTAATCCTCACACTGCCACTTTCAGTGCTAGGCAACTACTAATCCACTTTCTGTCTTTATAAATTTGCCTTTCTGGACATTTTATGTAAATAGAATCATGGTTGTCATATGTGATCCTTTTTTATTTAAAATAATATTTTCAAGATTCACTCATGTTGTATCACATATCAGTACTTTTGTCTTTTTATTGCCAAATAATATTCCATTTATGGATATAGTTATTTTTAATTGCACATTCAATATTGTGATGTTATGCTGTTCTCCTTCAATCTTCTTCCATCTATAGAAACTTTGTCAAGAAGATAGGACTTTATGGATGAGGAAAAAGAGAAGGCTACACAGTGAGTAGAACTCATAGGAAACTTGTATGAGTTAAGATATGTGGTCTTGCCCTGAGAGGGAAAAAGAGCCATTTTTTGGAAAAGGTCTGAGGGGAGAATATGGATCTTTCTTTGAAAAGTAAGTTAGTCTGATGAGGTAGATACACTGTGTTCTGGAAAGTATAGCCTGAGCAGGCCCTGTCTTGCCCTAAGGAGCTCCAGCCAGAAAGGGGAACTATGACACTTTTCTGAGACCTGTGACCTAAAAGGAGCTGTGGTCCCACTCTGAGGAGCCCCCATTCATCAGGCTTTCCCAAGACGGTCAGTGGGCATGAGCCTGGGTCCCAAGTCACCTTCAGCTCTGGGGTACTAAGCTGGGACACAAGCCTGAATGTATTTGCAGGAAGCCAATGTCCAGGCAATTCCAGAAGGGATGCCAGGGATATGACCAGGACCCTAAATCACCCAGCTTGGGCTCTTCCTATAACTGGTGCTCAGAGTTGTCAAATGACTACGTGAAAGCTGACCAGTCAGTAAGCGTTTATTTATTCTGCTGGGTGTGTAGAGTTGGGGCGCTTGCCTCCTGCCCTGAAACCTTCTTTTCGTGTATCTGGAGTCTCTTGGTCTCTCACCAGTTGGGCTCAGCTTTAGCTCAGGCTTTAGGACCAGCTGGGACCTCCCAGAAGCAGGGGTGTTTTAAGCAGTTCCAGACCATCCATCTGGATCTCTGTTTCAGGTCACCACGGCTCTGGGCATGACTGCATTTTTGATATATGAGTTCTGGCCTCATTCCTTCAGAGCAGGCTTCACCACATACCTGATTGTGATTGTGGCACCTGGACCTGATACAACAGACCTGAGTCCCTGTCTCAACTGCCCACCCAGCCGGTCACCCTTCTCTGGCCTCTGCATCTGACCCTGAGTTTCCTGGGCCGCCCACCTACCCATGCTGGACTCTGAACTTTGTGTGTGAGCACTCTATTATTTTTCATGGGCTACGCTCAAGGCTTTGGGACCCTCTGATCTCCTCAAATCTTTGGAACCCTCTGATCTCCTCAAATCTGATCTTCTAGCATCAGTAACTTGGTCACCCCCAGCTAGACTCCTCCCAGGGCTGCTGGTTCCCCAGACTGCCCTCCTTAATCTAGTCCACAGGCCTACATGCAGCCAAGTTCTTGTCCTCGTGGGCCTTGTGGGTTTTGTGTTCCAGACAATCCTGGCATGAGGTGGACACACTGTTTCTCTGAAGCCAGATTTTATTCTCAGCCCTAATCAGTTACAGCCAAAGGCTCTAGTTTGGGAGGAATAAGGTGGGAGATGAGACCACAGAGGTATTTTGGGGCCTCTGTGGTTGGAGCCTCTGCATCTGGTGTAGCAGCCCCTTCAGATTTTCACGTCCACTCTGGTAGACAGCCCAAGCAACTCCAAGTGCCCTGCCTTTCACACAAATGCCTGACTTGGCTTGGGTTTCCAGAAGCAGGGCCTGAGTCAAGGATTGGGTGCCATGATTTCCTGAGGAAGGGAAGTAGGATATGGCCTCAGGGAAAATGAGTCCTTGGCCTGATCACACAGAGGGCTCTGGAGCATATATTGCACCACAGTGTTGAAGCACCTTGAGGCAAGGAAGCCCCATTTCAACTGGACTGTGGGAGAAAGGGGTCAGCTGGTGAGCTGTTGAAGGTACATTGCTCAGCTTTCATCAGCTGAGGCTCTTCTCTGGAAAAAGGGCATCTGTGAGCCATGAGCAGCTGATGTCCACAGCTCACAGTTGTGTGAGCACATAGCTGCTCAAGGGGGATCTGGGAGTGCGGCAATGGCATCAACCACAACACCTTTCTCTGTCTCAGTCTTAGAGCCCAGGTGATTTTGACCTGACTACAAGTACAGTCAGGATGTGGGGTGGGATTAACTCACCTGGCAGCAACCCAGTGAGGGAAGGGAGACTCTCTCCTGCCTTTCTGACAGACCAGTCTGGTGGAATTCTGTATAGTTCCCAGGGGTTCCAGTGGAATTGTTGCATGTTGCCTACAGCAGACTTCGAGAGGTGACCTTCAAGCTTTCCCTGTTCCTCCCTCCTGTCTCTTGGAATCGTCTCCCAAAAGCATGCTTTTGTTCAGGCACTGTATTTAGGGGGATCCAGACTAAAATGCCTGGGGCAAAAGTTTCAACTGACCCCTGAAGGTAATGGAGACCTGTGGAAGGTGTTGCGCTGGGTCAGGGTGACTTACTCGTGTTTTTACTTTATAACAGACACAAGGGTCACTGAGAAGTGGACACCGTCACAGTGGACTGTGGAAGAGAGGGGTCGGCTGGTGGATTTGTGGAGAGGAAGAAGACAGAGGTCACTGATAGGGAGAAAGACAAATGGGACTCAGCACTGTTTGGAGGGGGAGCCTGTAACCCAAACCCCCAGCAGCTGGGGCTTGGGGCCTGGGGCAGGATGGGGCCATGGAGAGGTGCTGGTTGGGGCAGCAAGCAGATCTGGTTTGCCCAGTGTCCTCCCTCTCTAAAGAAGCAAGGATTATGTGAAATGTCCAGAATAGGCAAGTCTATAGAGAAAGTTGATTGGTTAGTAGCTGCCTAGAGCTGGTGGAAGATCGAAGTGGGACCCAGAAGGATTGGGAGTTGGGGGCTGTGGTGGTGATAGCTAAAAGTTATGGGCTTTCTTTTTAGAGTGATGAAATGTTTTCAAATTGACTGGAGATGACTATGACTGTGAATATACTAAAAAACATTGAATTGTAAACTTTCAATGGGTGATTTATATGGTATGTGAATAATATCATAATAAAGCTGTTATTTTTTAAAAAAAAACAATGAGTGCAAAGTTGTGCAAGGGATATGGGTTGGCTGTGGAGGGAAGTTTGCTGACTAATGGAAGGTGGGATGGACTTCAAAAGTCCTGTTACTCACCCTTCTTATTTACCAGTGAAGAGCTGGGCCCTGGTCTTGCCCATAGGACAGTGTGAGTCAGGGGCTTGAACCCAGTTCTCTGGACTCCCTGGTCCAGCATTCCCCTCACCACCTCCAGCCACTTTGCCTGCAGTTGCTCCCTCCTGTCCTCAGTGCATTTGGCAACATAGCCTTCCGTTTGGCTGACTGCCTGCTGAGAAGTGGGCAACAAATTGGATGACCTTTCTGCATTGTGCCCCTACCCTGCCCTGCCTGGTGAGTTGGGGAGACTGACTGCCCCCTACTCCCCTGAGGTCTTCTTGCTGCCAAGGAGGTGGCCTGAGAGGACCTGGCTTGGGTGGAGAAAAAGATGCTTGGTTCTCTGAGCAAGAAAGGTCGGGAAATTGAGTCTGACACCTGGCAAGGCTCTCTGCTCGGGCAGCACGCTAGGGAGGCTGGCCCGCACCCTGGCCAGGCTCTTCCAGGCCAGCCCCTTGCTGGGGTCCTGGCAGAGGCCAGAAATGGGTGCGCCGAAGGACTGCGTTTGGGGTGGGAAATAGGCAGGCCGCCCATGGGTAATGGAAAAGCTCAAACATTGGTCATGGCGGGCCTGCTGTATTTGTGTACTGATGTCAACAATAGAAGAGGAGTTTGTGACTTTTTGCCAAAGATGCTAAGATTCCCAATGGCTACCTCAGAACGCATGCTTGAAACACTCTTGGAACTTACTTGTCACCATTGCCTCACCCTTGCTTCTAGAAAATCCCCTGTACCTCCCTGCCTCAGACACCTCCATCAGCCTCAACATTCTCACTCCTGACAGCCTTCTCCAGGCCAAACACTTAGCCTAGTGCCGGCGTTCAAGGTGCCCCTACCACCGCCAGTGTCATTCTCGCTCTCCTAGCTTCATTCTGAGCAGACTTTCTGCTGGGCCCTGCCTCTGCACCGGGGACTCAAGGCTGCTCTGCATCCAGTAGAGCCTTCGCTATCCTGCATGACAGTGGCCAGGGCCTTGTTTCCTTGCTGGAAGTCAGGGCCCTTCCCCAGGCCACACCCTGACTATCTGGCACCCCAGTCACTGGACCTCTCACTGAGTTGGAAACCCCTACATTGTCAGCTGCGAGTCATGCCTGATGCTTCGCTCATATAAGCTAATTCCAGGGAGGCAACTGGGTCCCCTTCCAGTCCCTTATCTTACCTGAAGCTGAATGCTCATCAATGACATGGACTGGACAGAGGGGGCTTCTGGTACTGAAATGAAGTCGTGGCTGAAGAAGCTTTTATGTTTACTGAAGGGGTTTGCGTCAAGAGCCGCTCTCAGCAACTCTCCTGCAGCTGTTGTTCTCACCATGACTGCTGCCTCCGGTTTCCCTAGGCAGAGCAGCATCCCTACCACCGCCACCACTATCTCCATTATCCCCATCATTTCCTCCTTTCTCACCTTCATCCTATCTACCACCTCTATTACCACCATCACTCTAATCCCATCCCCATCATCTTCAGCAGGACTATCATCATCACCACCATTGTCACTGCCAATGTCTCAATCATCCCTGTAATTTCCTCCATCCATGCCTCCAACTGCGCCTCCATTCTCACCTCCACCAACTCCACCATCTCTACCATCACCACCACTGCCAGCCACATGGCTCCCAGATTGGACTTCTGACATCACTAGACATTTCTTAACAACTAGGCATGTGTCTGGTTGGAGATTTGACTCTGGATGTGGGGTGTGGCCAGAACTGCAGGTCCTGGCTATCTCATAGCTTACGCCGGCTCATGCATTGGCGCTCTCGCCTTGAATGTTGATGGTGGCCCAGTGGTGGAGATCTGGGCTGACTGGCTTGGCATCCATGCAGCCAGTGCCTGAGAATCAGTGGGCAGCCCAAAGTAAAGCCCACTTGGTTCATACGCTCTAGGGGCAGAGGAGACTTGTTGTTACTTGTGATCTCAAAGAAATCAGGAAATCCAGGCATGGGGAAGGAGCCCAGAGCAGGAGTCAGCACTCTAGCTGTGCCATGGATGTGGTATGGCCTCCAAAAGTCACTGCCTCTCTCCAGACCTCCCTTTCTTATCTTAAAATGGCAAGAGCAACCTCTCTTTCTCCATAAAGAGCTCCACAGGGCTTAAAGTGTATGCACAGCCTCTGAGGACATGTTGCGTAACAGGGTGTCCTGTCAGCCTGCCTGGGCGTGGTTCTGGCCTCCACCTGTTGCCAGCTCTGGGACCTTGAAGAAGCCACTCACTGTTTCTGCTAAGCTTGTTTCCTTCTCCATAAACAGGGAGCTAACAATAGTCTCTACCTCTCTTAAGACTGCCGTGAGGATTGACTGAAATCATCCACGGAGAGCACTTAGCTCAAATTCTTACCTGTGCTCAAGTCATGCAAGGGTGGTGCCACTCCACTTTACAGAGGGTGACAGAGCAAGGGTTGGGGTCATCAGTGAAAACTGCCTGAGATCATCTGGTTAGAAGGGACACAGCAGCCATTGGAAGCGAGGCCATGAGCTTCCTTATTCCTTTTCTAAGTTCCTGTTGATTTGGGAGCATGTGTTCAGACTATGAGGAGTATACAGGGATGCTGAAGCCCTGGAGCCCATGATCTGAGCCCGTGAAGGGAGAAGATTGGGCCCCTGGTGGCAGAACTGGGCTGGGAAAAAGTGTGCCATCCAGACCTGGCTGCACGATTCAGACAGAAATACTTGGATTGCTCAGGAGCAAGGATCCTGGAAAGGCTGGGCTAGGCTGGGTATTAGGAAACTAGCGGGGCTTGAAACAGCAGAGAAAGAGATAAGCATCCCAGTTAAGGAAATCTGAGCAAGAAAATGTTGCAGACTGGAGGGAGCATGGCATGGGGTCAAAGAGGGCAGATGACTGGCCAGTGGGTATGAAGGACCTGGATCCTGAAGGCAAAGCACTGAAATGGTCCTTGGAGGCCACCCATGCATCCAACTCATACAAATGACAGCTAAAGCAAGAGAAGCACCAGGCAAGGGCCAGACCGGAGCTATAACTGGGCTGGTGGTGTTTTTCTGACCATTGGCAAAACTGTCCAACATCGTGAAAACTGGTGGACAAGGATGGCTGAAGTCCTGGACTCTCCTCCCATCCTGTCCTCCTTGTACAAGGAGCCTGGGGCCCTACTTCAGAGGAGGCCTTGAGGAGACAACAATCAAGAGGGTGATGTAGCAACATTAGGATTTCTGGCCACAGATCTTTTAGGAGACCGTCTCTCCTGTGCAACAGTCGTGTGGGGTTGCTGCCTTCTCCGCCTGCGCTACAGCTGCCCTTCAGTGGGTACCCATTAGAGACCAGGCACTGTGGTTGTTACTCTCTTCATTTCATAGTGGAGGAGCTGCTCAGCTAGAGCAGAGCTGGGGATGGTTACAAAGCCTGCCTGATGCTCCCTCAAAAGACACACTAAAACCCCAGTCTCCATCCACTTGACCAGGGACCGTAGGGGAAAGTGATGAGCTGGATGACAATCTGGGAGGAGTGGAAAACAAGATGAGCAGCTGCTGCCACAGCCAGCTGCCTGTGCGCCAGGGCTCCCTGCCACCCACAGTCCAGCCTGCTCTGTGCCAGGGCCTGCTGCCCGCTGCACTGAGGGTGGCTGGAACACCCAAGCTCCTGGGGCCATCACCCTCTCTGCCCATGGCCCTGGCACAACTCCCCGTGCCAGTGGGCTCGGATGCTCAGAGCACCATCCACAAGCAAGCCCAGCTCTGTGGCCCACCACGGCCAGCCAGAGGGTTCGAGCAAGAGGGTTAGGCTCTTCCCGTGGACACACAGCCCCATTGAACAGAAGGCGTGAGGCCTTTGGGCCCGCCTCTGGACAAGGCTGGGCTCCGGCCTGCCATCTGGGCTGCCCAGGCAAAGGAGTGTCCTGCTGCCCACCTTCTGCCTATGGGAAAGCTCCCTGAGGTTGAAGAGGAGAACTGGGGCCCAGACAGCAAGTGAGTGTCTCAGAAGGGAATTTCCAGGTAAATGAAGGAAAATTTGAGGCCCATACACCCAGCCACCTCCCCGCTGATTGCCCCCAGGCACTCCTCCTCAGCACGCGCCTCCTGAGTGATTTATCTTAGTGGGCGATCCTGCCAGACCTTTGCTCTCCACGAAGTCCTGACAGTTTCCAAGGGCGGCCACATTGTCATTACTCTAGCACAGGCCTGTCTATCCCCTACTGAAATTGTGGCCCTGGCCTTTGCCAGAACCCCCTGCCCGCAGGCCCTCCCTGCCTATCCGGCCCCATCAGCAGTCAGAGTGGCCATGCCTCCCTGTGCGTTATACTTTCCCAGGCCTGCAGAGAAAGTTCCACCTCCTTACCCAGGCGGTCAAGGCCCCTGATGTCCTAAGACATCCCTGCTCCATAGGCCCCAGTCTCCCTGTGCACCTCATCCACCTTCCAGGTAAAACACTGGCTCCTGGAAAGGCTGGGCTGTTCAGCAGCACCTCCTCAGCACTGGGCCTA